CTTACATTTTTGGTATGACAGAGGATATGATTTAACGGTATGGATATAGAGTCGTTCGTGCTGATAACGTATTGTAAAATATATGTATAAGAGGTGAGATTTGTGTGTACGTAAATATATATGTGTTTGTGTATATAATATAATAAGTATTTGATGCTTAAGTAAGAAGCAAAAGTTAGAGAGAAGTGGAAATCTTCTTATTATTATCTCCATTACAAGGAATAACACTTCTTTATATAGAAAGTGTAAATTAATAAAATATTAGATCACTAAGTCGGCAAAAATATGTTAACGATGAAGTAACTATAATGGATAAGTATTATCTATTTACCACATAGATAATTATCCTTTTATAATAGTTTTGACTTAATTATTATACTGCTGTAAATCAAAAGATCATCATTCTTCTAATTTATTATCCTAAGTTCCTAACCAACATATCACATTAGATATGAATACTCTCACCAATTTTTTCAGTCATTTATGGCAATAATTATTTAGGTAGGTATCTGATTTAATAAATGAACTCGAAAATAATCTTAAGGGTACAAAGTTAAAAATTCATAAACTACAGGGAGCAATTAACAAAAATCCAGCAACAACTCTATAGAGAATTAGAAGCGTGTATTACAAAGTCTTCATCTGTATTGACCTGACTCTTCTTCGTTAAGGAAAATAAAAAAAAAAAAATCTGATTTTCTCTTTTATCGTTTCCGATTTTCGATTTTCCCGAGAAAATTTTCTCCATCGATTCCACACCTACACAAGAGAGCTCTTTCTTTCCTCTGGGCTGTGTAAAATTTTCCATCTTTTTTTTTTGTCTTTTCTGTGATAATTTTTCTCGATTTGGTTTTTTGATCGGCGAAGGAAATGGGGCAACAGCAATCGAAAGGTGAATTGCTGTTTCAGCAAGTGAGTTACGGTAACGCTGAAGGGATTCGAGCTCTTCGTCGAGATGGTGCAGACCTCGAGGTTGCTTTCTTCTCAATTTCAATTCAATTTTGATTGATTGATGATGTTGAATTGCTCGGAAATTAGGGTTTTTTACAGTAGATTGTGATTTGTTGTTGTGTGTTGGGATTTGTAGTGGATGGATAGAGAAGGAAAAACGCCTTTGATAATGGCTTGCATGAACTCGGAGCTATATGATGTTGCTAAAACTTTGATCGAATTGGGGTCCAACGTTAATGCTTATCGTCCTGGTATGTTTCAAGATTCTTCCCTTTTTTTACTTTTCTCAAAATTGATTTTTTATAGCTTTCAAGTTTTTCCTCAAATTGGAAATTTGGTGTATAATGGAGCATGGCTTAGAGAACTTGTTAGTAAATAATGGAGCTTGAGTAGCTAAGTTGACTCAATCTGAAGTTAGGATCCGGTGACATGAATGCTGTGATAGTCATTGAAATGTAACGTGCCAAAAGCTGCATCTAGTGGATGTGCTTGAAGTTTGAGACCCTGTTGAGTCTGTTAGAGGCTCCATGATCGTGGTTTTGGTTTGCCCAAAACATTGCTGTGATCTTAGAGATGCTTATCGTCAGAAAGAAGTTGAGTTTTAGTTAGTGATTTAGCTTAATGTGGTCGCTTTTTCTCTCTCTCTCTGGTTGGCATCAGCTCGTCATGCTGGGACTCCTCTGCACCATGCTGCAAAAAGAGGTCTTGAGAACACTGTTAAGTTGCTTCTTTCAAACGGTGGTAAGTGTTTCCTCCGAGTCCTCTCTTATGACTTGATGAATGTGAGTTTAATATCTACTTATCATGTCATACCCCTTTTTTGGCAGCAAATCCACTTGTTCTCAATGATGATTGTCAGACACCTCTTGAGGTTGCTAGAGTCAAAGGATTCAGCAATGTCGTGCGTGCAATTGAGGTATGTTTGTAATACATGTTTGATCATTTGCTGTAACCGACTTGTGAAATATATGATTACACTTTGTGGTTTATAATTTTTTTGAATTGTGGATTTTGTAGAGTCACATCTGCTTGTTCTCTGGTTGGATGCGTGAATTTTATGGCCCTACCTTTCTTGATTTATTTGCTCCTCAGTTTCTTTCGAGAAGAGTGTGAGTATTCAGTGAACTTCACTCTTATCTGTCTTATTTTTCCCTGTGTTAGTTCGGTTATACAAGCAGCTTACTCTGTTAGTGTGCTTCTGAGGAAGACCTTTTCCTTTTACGCATGGCTATGAATCTGCTTTTAAACTGTATGACTTGCAGATGGGTTGTTATCGTACCAACTGGTTCAAGAAACCCTACAAAGCCTTTCAAGTTAGAGCTTGTTGTGTATGCTAGTCTGCAGGTACGATGATCATTAGATAGTAGTTCACAGAACAATTTCACAACTTTCAATGTGATTTAAGTCCATATTTGGTTTATCTGTTTTATAACCTGGTATAATGTCATCAGGATGCACAACCACGCACGGTGATGCCCTTATGGAAAGCGAACTTGGAGGAACCGAAAGGAAAGCAGTCTGATACTTCAGTGATGATTGTTGATAACTCCACAAGTAATTTCCGGGCACTTTTATATCTTGCATGCAACCTCTTGTTTTGTGGATGTTGATTGAATTTTATTCTGGTGGATAGTCCCAACTCGCAGGAGGCAGAGACGAAGGGCCTGCGCCTCCCATGGGAGACGTAGGCCTCAAGTAGTTAGGCGTAAGTCTACACTGTTTAGTTGCTGATAATTTGTATCAGAAATTTTCTACCTCCATGTTTCTAATTTGCCAAGAAAGTATCTCAATTGATGTCTCTGTTTGATCTGCTCTTGCATTTTAAATTTTTGTTTCAGTGAAGTAGAAACATGTAATTTTGTCTGTCTTTCTTGCAGAAACACGTCTTAAACTCGCGCCTTCGATAGAAGGTGACAGACAACAGCTGAAGTGGTTTTGTGATGCATGTAAAGGAATTCCACAGGTAATGTTGAAACAACAGCCATTGGATTTGTACAGAGTTATTGTTTCATTGGATTAGTTTTATATTCTGATTGAAATTCTCTTAAAATTAATATACAGCCAATGCATCCACCGGTCTTTCTCCAAACAGCACCATCTGCTCCACCACGATTAGAAGAATATCAAGAAGTAACGGTGGCAATGAACGCCTCTCTTCATTCAACTATGAGTGACACACCAAATCTCAATCACCATTCCATCGGTGAAGCAAGTTCCTCAGCTGGTCCGAGCTCATCAACTGCACCTCCTCCTCCATCAGGAAAAGCAAGTGCCTCGGGTTTCAATAGCCATGAAAGTGACATTGTCCAAGAACCTTCACCATCAGCTCCTCCATTGACAGATGATGATATCACAGCGATAGAGGAAGGTCCGATCCATTACCCATCAATTGATTCAACACCTGTCGATATCCCATCTCCTTCGCCTCTTCCAGCTTCAACAGATGGTGAAAAGAAAGAAGACGGGAGCTCTGGACAGTGTGCAATCTGTCTTGATGCTCCTTCTGAAGCGGTTTGTGTCCCGTGTGGACATGTCGCCGGATGCATGTCTTGCTTAACCGAGATCAAATCCAAGAAATGGGGATGCCCGGTTTGCCGCGCCAAGATCGATCAGATTATTAAGCTGTACCGCGTCTGAAATACACAGGTAAAAAAAAAACTCAATGGGAGTATCTCTCTCCTTCATTGTGTTGTGAGATTAAACTTGTTCAACCATTGAAACTATCTTTCTCTATCACTCAACCCAAATATCATTCAAGACCCTATTATTTTCTTTCTCCTTAATAGCTAAAACACTGTTTATAATTTTGAACTTAAATACAGTACTCATGTTTGTATATAATGGTTTTGGACCGAAAAGAAGGATGTAAAGA